ATTAGCTTGTCATCTTTAATCAATCAATTGTATATAAGTTAAAGGAAAGGTAAGTAAGGAGTAAGAAGTGAACACGGCTATAATATACTCACTTATTCAATTAAATAGTAGTAAAAAACAAGACAACAATAGTGAACCAATGAGGAAAGAAAGTAATAAAGCTACGACGTTACTTTACAGTAATAACTCAGAAAATAAAGCAAATTCCGAACTGTAAAAAAGATAATGACTTATTACTGTTTGGTAATAAAGATAGCAAGTATTTCTTCTGACAAACAACAGCATACAACTGGTTTACGAGGGTCACGTGTCATCATTCCTAGTGAAAATTTTAGCACATAGTGAAGAGATCAATCAATCTACATAGAGCAATCACCGATACATTTCTCGTTCATAACTTGTTAGTGTTTCTTGCGCATTTCTGTCTACTTACTGAGCAAATGTGAAAAAAATCAGAGCACTCAATCATTCAAATATATTCATTCCCTCATGAAATGCATATTTGTCCACATTTGTTGCACTTTTTTTACTTTCATCTGAATAGACAGAAATCAAATGATTTAAGCATACTGCAAAGGTCATAGTCTACTTTTTATTTTCAGTTAGTGCCATGAAAGAGAATGGAAGTAGCAGCAATACATATGTTGTTTACATTCAAGATATGCCGAGGATGCAAGATTAAAAATTAGCAAGTGCAGTCTATCAATGTGTTGGCCATAATCTGGAATAGATGTGCGGCAGAATAATGTGTATTATATGAACAGAAACTAACTAATTAATTAATTAATTAATTAATTCGTCTTCTGTCACGTACATATAGAGATGATTAGGAAGAGACATGCAGCCAGGAGCAACAATTTTTATTAATTTTTTATGAAAACTAGAAAAGTCTTCTACATTTATCGTCACTGCTGGTGGTTTTCATGATCAGCACAACATCCATTCAATGAATGAATGAATATATATTCTTCGCCTCATTTCCTGCCTCATGCATCAATTTTTAATGCTCAACTGCTGCTAGTACAGTAATCCAAATGATGTTATTTCATATTAATTAAATTCACATACCACTGTTCATTTCATTCAGATGAAATTTACATAAGCATTCCTCACTACTAAAAATTTCAACAATTAACGACTGATTAAATACGTAAATTCGAGACTTCACACATTTCATGAATTGAATGCACAATCATGCAAGCTTGCTTCTGTAGCCATCTCTATTCCCCTTTAGTAAAACTTTTCATGCAAGTAAGCCTCATCCTCAATCAATATAGTCTTTATCATGCATAAATAATGTAATGAAAATATTGTAATGCATTTGCAGGGCGCTAACTGATCCATACCAACTGGTAAGCAGTGATGGGTAGACAAGCTGGGACTGACTAACCGGTTGAGTTAACCAGATGAAAACGATGATGACGTGCTCCATATACGTTTCATAGCTGCAAATGCACGCTAAGAGCAGCCGATAGTTTTTTTACGTGCCCCGACACACAAGTAGCAAGCAAAAAGATTGACTTACTTTCGAGCCAGACGTAATTTCTTTTTTATCTTAACAAATTATTGCTTGCAAGGGATAGCAGCATTAAGGAATTAATTATGTTCATACCATCAATCAAACAGTCAATATATTGATTTATATGCAAATATTTCTCAATTAAAATTGCGTTTTCGACAGCTGGGAGGTCGTTCTCAAGAGCTATCACCAAACATACACACAATCTGTAAAATCTATACACTGCTCTAGCAGGGCTATGTGCTGAAATAAAAAAATAAACTGCACGTCTCACGTAACATAAGTAAGTCATTAACATTTACAGCGTCCAATTTTTAACTTCACTTTTAAAACACATTCCGCATTTTGTGGCACACAGCATACTTATCATATGTAACATGCTATTACGTTAAATGAACTTTTCCTATCAGCTGTAAAAAACCTGAACTTTCCCAATAAACATCGTTAAAATCTCTTGCAAAATGTCGCCAAGGTAGTTAGTTGAAACAAGTAAAATGAAAACAAGTCACATCACTCAATTTCAAAATGTTCCACAATGGAATTGAATTATTGCATTTACTTTTTTAAATGTAAGTCATCTGGCAATATCAACATCAGCTATCAAGTATGAGAACAAAGTTAGCAGTTCCAGTCCCCTGAAAAGTTAACGAGGTTCAGAGCTAAGGCTTATTTGAAATATTTTGTGAAAAGATCAAACGTAGATAGTATGCTTTTGCAAGTGAATTAAAGTTTTTTGAGTTGAACTGAGTTTCTGATAATGAAAGTGTAGATTGAATGAGAGAACGCTTGAAAGTAGTTGATTGTACATGCTTGATTATGTAACCAGTTCTTTCTGTTTCATTGCATTATCAACGTGGATAGTATACATGAAATATTATGCATGTACTCACCCTCTTGCATGGATCACTCATCTTCAAAATGCTTTACACTGTCAACATGATAATCGACATGATGTATAGTCGACATGATGACCATTAACACTTTAGCCTATATGGCATTCCTAAAGGCTACTACATGATCCTATGCAAACTGTTAATTCACTCACTTCTGAAAGCAAATAAAACTCAATTTTCTTTATTTTCTAACAACTGAGGAAGTAATCTTCTTGGATGAAACACAACATATTGATAATCATTCCACACAGAAAATCGCATCCATTGTTTTTGCCAGTAGCTAAATGAACAGGCACAAATTGATCTATTCACATCCAATTCTCTACTCTTTCATTTCACGCAAAAATAGGCTAATTCACAGATAAAAATCGTTAACACAAGTAATATTGCATTGAGAGCAAGAAAAGATGGATATGAAGAGGAGGGACCAAGCAGCATGCATGACCAAATAAAGTCATCATAGGTCTTACAACCACAAGCAATTAACGTCTGACCTCAAATAGCTGCAATCCATTCAGCAGAATGTAAATAAATAGCTGCAAATCGAATATTTCACAAAACCTGGCTTGTTGGAAATATTCATAAGACTTGATAAACAACACAAATACATTGATAGTCTCACATCTGTCCCTCTATTACCCTCACTAATATATACACAAATAACACAAGATAGAAGACATGGCCACATACACAACCCTACCTTTATTATAGGTACAGATTCCCTAGGACAGTAACCCAAACTTGTTAAACTTGTAACTCGCAGTTACTATTCTCACTATCATAAGGAATTATAATTTGTGTAGAAACCACACAGACATCCATCCGCACTATGATTAGTAACTTCAGTTCCGAATAACTCCTCAGACGGGGAATACACTTCATCAGACGCCAAATGGCGACTATGCGTTGGATCTAGCATCTTCATATGGAGTTCAATTACATCCCTCGCATAAAACATTGATTAAATAACTTGTAACTAATTTTGCATTCATTTTCAAGTGGTCCACACATACATCAGACGAGTAGAGAAAAATCAGCCCAAACGCACAGAAATTCTTGACGATTCGATATACTTCAGAACTACCTTCTTTCATTATTCACGATAAGCAGTACAAGAAAATGATCGTTTCGTCTACTTAAAAAAAATGAATCTTAAAATCATCGAGTTTTTTAGTAATATAGGAAATATACAAACACAAATCATCTCTTTTAAATTAATTTTAGAGCGTTAATTTCACCCTGGGTTAGCAAAATAACTAACTGCAAACCAAACATTTGATAAGATTCGACTTAGAAATATCCAAAGAAATTATTGGAGATAGCTTGTTTCAATTGCTTAGTGAAAGAGTTAAAAACTAGACAGACTGCTTCCAATTAGAAGGTAAAACATTGAATACCCTGAGGAAACGAATTAATGCGTTCAAAATAAACAGCAAATGAATACACAAAACTTCAAGATTGACTTTATAATTAAAAATAAAAAGTGCTTTAAGGTCTAAAACTATTTTTGATCCCCTTAACTCGAACAGACCAATTTCGTTGAGAGCGATAACACTAACGATTAACAAAGTCAATGACCGTACAAACAAAACATAAAATTCATACACTTTAGGTTAACGTAAAGCGAATTCTAATAATTAAAATATATTAAGAATCTCTCGGCAAAAAATACTGCGCCCAACTATATATACATACAGCGTTCACTTCATCTTCCACACAACAAGAAAAAGATTGAAGCAAATGAAGAGTCAGTTTTCTAAACAAGGCAAAACGTCGGAAAGGACATTGCCAGAAATAAATAAAATATTACATCATAGCTTAATTTTACTTTCTTTTAGCTCTTCAATTATTATGGAAACAAACTAATTTTACGCAACAAACGGGAAGATTGAAGAAACACTGCATCTTGCTCGGAGATTCATTAAAAATACATGAAACAAATTCTTTTCCTGAATAAAATAAATGAGCACTTATTGGCAATAAAGTACTAATGAGGATCAAAAGGGACATTCTTTTTTCCAAATCATTGCTGTACAACATTAAAAATTAAACAGCGAAATAAAAATTGTATTTAAACAGCTTTCTAAATATATTAACGCAATTCAAAGACAAATGAATCTCATTTAAACCATGAAATACAAAGAATGAGGTAGTGCTAGTCAAGTCGGCTACAAGACTGAAATTACATTCGATTTGACAATAACTATCTCAATGTTATTGGAAATTAATAAAATTGCATTAAATAGACGAAGAATTACATCAATGAAGTTTAAACAATTTTACAATAACATAAAAAGCACTTCATGATGACCAAAGAAGAATACTGAAAAATTTTTAGAGCGGTAATTTGAGAATTGAAAATTTTGCTCAAATGACATCATGTCCACATTGACTCGCAGGAGTGAGTTTTCCAACGTAAATAATCTAATGTTTTGTAAATGGATAAAGTGGAATTTTTTCTAATAGATTTTGAGATATTTTCTGACTACCTTATATCTTGTTTATCTCACCCTTTCAAAAATTAATTCATCATGAAAAAAGTTCATAAACATTGTGATCTACACATTTAATGATTATACAACAAAACTTCAATCTAGACAAGCCCATTTCATAAAACTTGGTATTGTTCTGCATGGCATATTTTCGCACACAGCTTTTATATTCAGTGCACGATCTTCAGTCAATAAAACTACACTGCGATAAAGCCTTACTGGTTGTTCCACATTTAAAAGTGATCCTGTAGTTAATTGTGCTTCTGAAGAAGAAGGAGGATTAGATCGCGTCTTCGCAAAATTCACACAGCTTAGGAGGATGATATCGTCATTCACCACCTTAAAAACTTTTTCATAGCTTATATCACAAAGCAATTTGCGAAAACTTAAATAGCGGATATTGAATTTAGTGATTCTCTTCTTTCCTACAGTCTTGACTTTGACAGAAAAAATTGGCAAATTTCATGCTTTGAGTTGGTTTTAACCAAAAACCCTACAAAATGCTTGCACCTCCTCACACTATATATAAATTTATGTCACACTAAACTGATGAAAAACTATATGTTTTACCGTTAATTCTCCTGAACTGTAACTTTCTTCCGTAGCAAACATAACAGAATTTAACAGGTTCCCTCTGCTGGTAATTGTATACACTTGAGATTGCTTGCCAACTAAATCCTTTAAGTAAACAATTGCCTCCTTCGCTCGTTCACCAACATAACAATCTTGAAATTCTTCTACTCCAAAGGAAGATTTAGATGAGACTAGTCGCGACAGATTTTCTAATTCAGAGACAACTAAAATATTTTATTTTCAGCCGTAAAACATTGATGTTTCTTTAAACGAAACAATTAATAACCCACAAAAACCCCAAAATATAAATAAACCTGTTGTTGGTACAAGCACAGTGAATCTATGACTGTCCACAATCTTCTTAATGGACACCAAATGATCGATAAAAGTATTTGTATCTGGTACTAGGTATTTCGGTCGTACTTCAATAATCACTCTATTTCCTTTTGTTTCACGTTCCAAAAGCTCCTTAAAACTTAGAAATACTTAATAATTTGTAGCTTTACCACCTGCGACACAGGACAAACTATTTCAATATAGAAGCCCTTATTTCTAAATAAAAAAGCTCATTTCTTTTTTCATAAAAAGAATAAGTCACCACGAAAATACTAAATAAGTAAAAAATAAGAATTATCGCAGAAATACACATTTTTTTGCACCAAAAGTTAATGTGTGATGAAACAGTGAAAGTATACCTGTTTTATTTGATTTTCAAGAACAGTCTGCCGATACTGCTTGTGCTCATCAGAAAACTGATCCTGAATAAGAAATTAAAACTTACTAAAAACAATTATGAAACATACAGGAAAAAAACAATTAATATCAAAAACAATTATGTAACAATAGTCATTTGAACACAAGGTGAAAAACCAAAGAATCATTTTATTGGAACTTTCCACATTCACAATACAATAAAATTTAAAACTTACAAAATCCTGCACTTCTACTTCATGCTTCAACTCGGAAGCCTCATACAGTTCATCGCTATTTTTTTCTTGCTTCGTCTGATAATTTACAGGTGAATCACTCCGTACTACAGCAAAACAGCGCAAATGTTCACTGAATCGAAAACATGGTAGTTCAGATCCATCCAAATATTCCGCTGCCGATAATACAGAAGATAAACGAGCATGAAGTGCCAAAAGAGGTAACTAAAATAATGTATCTGTTAAAAATTTGGAATATTTCAAATTCTTGCTTTTGTTAAGAATTTAAACAATTTACTGAGCAAGGTGCACTTCTGGTACTTTGTAATACAACAAAGCATAGCGAAAGAAAAAATACTGCATTAGGAAAAGTAAATTATAATTATGCATTGTAAAGAGACTGGAAAATTTTGAAATTTAATTTGCAAGACTTTACAGCAATGTTTAACCTCATTACTAAATTTTATGATAGTTTGTAAAAGTCTTATTAAAACTACCATAACAAGTCTCAATCAACAGTCTAAATACGAGTAAAACAGTGTAGTCTTCAAAATAAGAGTACTAAATACATTGTTGGAAAGGTCGACGTTCTTTAAAACAGACATTCGTAATGACTTCGGTAATACCGTGAACACATCAATGAAAGATGCCAGAAAAATTGATTCAGGAAGTACAAGCTCTATATAAACTTCTGATTTCACTGAAAAAGTAACTGAAGAGTGAAAGAGATATGATGTGAAAAAATGACCTCTTATGTACAAGCATTTCATGTATAATAAAGTTTTTATAAAGTGCATTAAGAGAACTATGTGTCTTACCGTCCGAGCATGGAATGGTTCGTGATAAAATCTTTTGCGACTCAGCTTCAACCAAGAAGTTAGCAACATCGGCAAGTAATTTCCACGTATCAACTTGAATAAGCGATGTTTCAATGGATTCCAGTGATGGCATACTTCTGTATAAGCGATTAACAGATGGCATCGACAACCATTCAGAGATTACGAAAACAGCTGGCAACACACGACGCATCTAAATTTAAACATGACTGATACCGCTACATAATGTGAAAAAATAAAAAAATGTGTTTTCTAAAACTGTTCACATATTTATAAACCACAAACCTTCAATGGCAATTGAGCAGAGCCAATTAAAATATTAGATAAGTCTTGTAAATGATCATAAATTGGGCTTAAAACTACTCCGAATAAGCTTAATACCATTTGAACTGCTTGCTGTTGTTGCAAAGAACATGTACCGGGCTCAGTGTCTGAAACAGCTAGAAAAATTTAGTAGCTAAAATGATTTCAAATAAAAATTTCTACTGCCTAATTTGACATTGAGATACCACCTTTTGTAATCCTAAATCATTTTAAGAGATCTGTAATTTGTTCAGAAATTTAAAACTGTAAAGTCAAAGACAAAATAACTGAAAATTTAAAGAAAATACGACGTATGTTCTTCGCACTAAATTTTTAAAATGCAAACATACTTTTTAGTGTTAGGCTGTGAACAGCGTACAGAAAAAGAGTGCACAGCTGAACAAGATGTAAAGAAGAAAGAGGACACTCATCACAAGATATAAGTTGAGATAGCTGAAATAGTGCTCGCTCACTAATGCTGTCGTACTCCTCCATACCTATTTTCGTGATCAGAAGACCAGCTGTATGAAGGACATATGGTATTGTGCGACGATAGAGCTGTAAAAATTAGAAATACAGAATATTATGGACACTATATTAAAACTAAGCATATTTCTATTTAACATTTCCAGAGACAAAACAACTGACTAACACATTTAAACAAGTAGTTCGGACAATTTCTTAAAGCATCCAAATTTTTTAAAGTTTTTGACGGCCAATTTTTAAGATATAAAACTAGAAATCTGAATTGCAAACCTCAACATTAGAAACTGAACTCAATATATGAACGGCTTTATGATCAGTAATATTAGCATAATCTCCTGAAGAAAGTTTTCCGTCCTGAGCTATCCAAATTTCTTGAGGTCTGTCTGCTCGCGCAGCAGATGTTTCGGCTTCGCGCGTTCTGATATTACCAATTCGGGTATTAAAGTCTATTTCAAATTCATTTACCTAAACGTAAAACGGAAAATAAAAATTGGTCACATCAAATTTCAACATTTAATAAAAACTATTACTATGAGCGAAAATAAAAAATAATCACTAAGAGATAAGTTTTATTTCCAATGGGATAAAATTCATTTTTCAGATAATAAAATAATAAATGCGAAAATTAGATCGGATGACTTGTTAGTATGACTGCTAAAATCTACCCTTCAGTAACCTTGAATAAAAATATAATTTACCGGAGGAAAAATGGATTTTTCTTCATAACTTGTGTATGAAAATCATCTGTACCACACATTAATATCAAGCTACCAAGAGGTGTACAAAAAAATTAAGCCATATGATTTTTTCATTACAAATAACAAAAACGGACCTTTTTTCGGACATGATTTAATGCAGTGAAAAGCGGCTGCCGAGCAGTTTCAAAAGGATAACGCGCAGCTAATGCCCTAACATAATAGAAAATCACATCAATCCATTTTGTCTGCAAAAGCAAAATTTGAAGTGTCCTTCTGAGACAAATTAAAAATGAGTGGAGAAGTTGAATTCAACATCAAGAACAGACTATTTCAACAGTATTTTAGTATAAATACATCTAAGAAGGAAAATCACAGTTTTTTAATATATATGCATGGCAAGAAGATGCAGTAATCAAACATTTATATTGGATTAAAATTTGCCAATTTCA